GAGGTGCGAGCTTTGTGAGGTATTCTATCTGCTTTGCGACTCGGCGCCAGAGCCTCGAGTTATCGTTCCTGCAAAGAAGGCGGATATTTGTGGTAAACGCCGCGCGTGCGACGTCGCCCGCTTCAGGGAGATGGTGGTGCAACCAGTTCATAGCGCCAACGATGCGGGCAACACGTGCCATCCCCAGAGAGTCCTCTTCGTCAGTACCGTAGACGTCGAAGTTGAGCCAAGCGTCGCAGAGAAAGGGAAGAGCGACAGGAATTTTCAGTGCTACGTGCCAGCCCTCAACTCGGAGACGACTGAGGGCTTCGAACGCACGATTGACCCCAGCAACTACATTGATCCCGCAGACGTCGCGCGCCTCGCACCTCCCATGCATGGGGTGAAGATAATCGACCCATCGGAAGATGTCCTCCCATAAGGTCTCTGGAAATTCCTGCTTGAAGGGCGCGTACACGGGATCATCAGCGACACAAAGAACACCCCAGAGCGCATCAATGGCGCCCAGGATAGCAGCAACACGGCCATCATCCCGTCTAACACGCTCGGAGAGCGGAGGCGTATTACTGGCCAGGGCGGCGAAGATAGATCCTCTGGCAAGGATGGTCTTGGCCTTTACGAAGGCGGAACGCCCGGGCTCTAATACGGTCCCCGGTTCAGCGATGGTGACTCCAAGACTTCTTCGTAGTGCTGCCGTGCGTCGTAGTTCTGCGAGGGCATCGGAGAGATCCTTTTCGGCGTTCCATGCCTTGGAGAAGACGTACGACCCCCGAACTCGTTAAAATTTAGCTGGACTTGTGTTGCACACATATTATATCTTAGGACTCACGAAAGCGCGGAGGCCTGCGTGGGTCAGAGTATCTACCTGTTTCGCGCGGAAACATCCGGACTCGAAGGGGGGGGAATAAGAACGATGGCCGATATATTAAATACCAGTCCTTTGCTGGATCAGGTCAAAATTTACCGGCACGAGCTTCCGACGTGTCGTGATTGCTCGTGTCTGCATGATCTGGTTTGCCCCAAGTCATCTTCAGCCTGAACCAGTGGATATACTGTACAGTACTATATGACTCTGACGCTACATTTTGATTTGCTGGTCTTACGAGACGGCGGCCCGAGCGATCGGACGAGCCTTTCAAGGCCGACTGGCTCCAACTGCGTTACAAGAAGCTAGACAAGTACATTGCTCTGAGAGGTACATAGAGTCTGTCGCACTAGCCTTGACTTTCATACGCATTGCTCTTATGTTTGGGCATGAAAGACCACGCTTCCGGCGCAGGACCGAGGAACATCTCCGAAATCTTCACCCAGTCGCGACTGTCGGGGCTGGCCAGGAGCGTTTCTGGGAAGGGGTTCACTGTTCAAAGAGGAAACTGATAAAGAGGGGCCTGGAAAACGTACCGAGGTCGTCTCTTCCCTTGAAAGCCGGTGCCCGCTCATTGAGGCGTCCGGGGAGGCGCTCGAGCAGCCCGATGGGGATGTAGCGATACTGGAAGGAGAGAGCCTCACAGAGGTAGCGTCGAGTGGTGTTGATGCCAGGAGTATCACTGCCGAAGTGACTTGAAGAATAGACGTCAGACATGATACACATTATTTGGAAAGAGACTCACTTCAAGCCGTAGTCAACGAGCTAAGGAGATGGGCGTTAGTCGTACCAAATCAAGTTTCAATATAGACGAGGACAAACCTTTCGAATATGCTCGAGCCGCTCGCGCGAGCTGATATCCCACTCACGACGCTCCTTGATCTCGGTGAAGATCCAGGGCTTGATGAGGGCACCGCGGCCTATCATGACTCCGTCGACGCCGGTAGACTCCACGTTGTGCCAATAGTCCTCCGCGGAGTAGCAGTCCCCGCCACCGAATATTGGCGCTCTGGGCACTGTGCCCACAATTAGCAAGGCGGTCGATGTCCATGAACAGATGTACTGACAGTTCTTCTCCGCCTCGTAAACGCGCACTGACTGAACACACTCCTTCACGTAGTCCCAATCAGCGAGCTTAGTGTAGCGTTGCTGCCTAGTGCGCCCGTGAAGCTGAAAGGGTGTCAGTTGGATCAAATTGTGGATTTCCAAAGGACATCTCTTACCGTCATCATCCCAGCCCCCCACTCCGAGACGCGCGGCATCAGTTTGTGCGCATTGTTTCGCCCGTCTTTGACGCCAGTGCGTAGCTTCACTGTGACGGGGATGTCGCCCAGGGCCTTGTTCATGCCCACAATGATGCGGCCCAGCTTGCCCGGGGAATCTAGCACTGAAGTAGACATTAATATCGTCCAGCTAAGACGAACACGGAGAAAACTGCTCACGGGCGCTCCCGCTCCCGGTCTTATAGACCAGGTCAATTGGGCAGCCGCAATTGATGTCGACAAAATCGATGTTGCCTCCCGCTTCATTTTGGATAAGCTCGGCAGCGCGAACCATAGTGTTGGGCTTGTTGCCAGCCAGCTAATACATACACCATGAGCTCGTGAGGACGTGGATACACGGAGTTACTAACCTGCACACCGAACATGCGTTCAGACGGATGTCGCCGCACGAGAGACCACTCTTCCTTGGATCCTGAGAGAAAAGAGGTCGCCAAGCCCACTGGAAACGAAGCCTGAGCTGCGTCTCATGTCGTAGTTCGGACACCCACTGACTCTCGCCACAAGTAATATCGACACCATAATCGACGCATATCCTTCTAAATGGCTGTAGAATTCGTCAGCATCGTGTGCTCTTCGAGCACCTTTGCCAACGCACCAGGTTTCCGACGGTCGTAAGAGGTGCGAGGTCTATCGGACCGTAAGCTCAGAGCGATACTGCAACGGCGAAACGTGGCGTACATGTCTTTCCCTCCCAGTGCAGACGCTTCTTCTCTTCCGCGCGTAGGGGCACGTCGACCGACATGTCCATCTGATCCCCTGCGCCAGTGCGCTGTGCGACAAGCGCATCTGCATTCGGTACCACCTCCGCGACGGTACCGGAAGGGCCGCCTGCGCTTGAGGCGGCATCGGCTTTCGCGACCCAGTCCGGCTCATCTTGCTCGGGCTCAGCGATCACCACCTTTTGACTCTCGAGATCCTTGAGGTAGCGGTCCGTGATCGGATATTCATACTGGATGGTCTTCAATTTAAAACAGCACTCGCAAATGCAGTGTGCGCACCCTCTTCTTGTGCAGTTTTGTCCGTGCTTCCGGATGCAGGTAGTTCTGTTCCGTTTCTGAAATGGCTGTGCGAGCGCATTTGTCCTCGTCGGTGATGAGCGACAAGGACCCATCCTCTGTCTTCTGAACATGGGCTCCGAGAAAGCGACATTTCAGTCCGGACCTGTACAACGAGAGTTTGACTTTGTACTGGGCCGAGTCGGTGAGTGTACTCACTTGCATGAGCCTGTGGCCTCAAATAATGGACACTTCGTGTGCGGGTCAAGGGACGGATTTTGGGGGTCGGTGACGGTAAACGGTGTGGGAGTGTAGAACGGAGACTCGTTGCTGATGTCGCTTGTCTCTGGGATGCGGAGGTCGTGTGGCTTTGCAGCAAGATAGGCGGAGACGTCGTGGGTGAACTTGCATCTACGTTTATCGTTAATGCCAGCACGAAGATTTCATGTACGACGCACTTGTCTCCAAACTCGCACGTCTGCCCATTCGCGGTCTTCCAGCACACCTCTAGCTCGTCGTGCATCTTGGCAAATCGGCGCCCCTTGTTGGCTCCGCGCTTGCTCTTGTCTTTGCGCTTCTTCCCGGAGTCTCTGTCGTCCTCCCTCTTGTCTGCGGTGTCTGGTGCATGTCCGGTCTTTCCTTCGGCAGCATCGTCGTCGGGAACATCAATATGCTTGGCAGAGATGAGAAATCTATACCCCGAGTTGAGCTTATGAGTGCAGCTGACAATGGCGGAGTACGCACTCTGCCTTCACAGGCGCGGTCCCGGGGGGCAAAGACGCGCTCATGACCGTGAAGAACAATGGACTGATCGAAGTGATGAAGTTGGCGATATGCCGGCCCGGCGCTGCCGCTTGAGGAACCCGGATTGCTCTCTTCTCAGATGCTCTCCTCGTCAGACCGGGATATATGCTCGGTTTCCCCTTTGTGCGCACGCCACGGGCTCGAGGGACATAGGGCGCCAAGTGTCTCAGCGATTAAGGCCATTTCCTAAGCTTACAGAAACTGTAGAATCGTAGCAGTTCTGCGTCCAGGCGGTGTCAAGAAGCAATCTCAGTCGTGGGGGATTGAACGTCGGGAAGCTATACGGGGCTCCGTGATAGACCCTATGCATTGAATGACGGCCACGATATAGTGCACAGCATGTCATTCTTGAGAATGGTGACTACTTCTCCTCACCATAAAGCAGGCTCTTCCCCCAAGCGACTGCTCTTTGGTCCAGATCGCGTGCGCCATGGAAGAGCTTCGCCAGCTCTTGATTCCATCGGGTTTGTACTAGGTCCCCGAAGGACCTGTCGGTTACGCGAGACGCGGCGGACGGTGGTGCGGGAACGAGGGATGGGTGATCGACCAGGCGAACGCTCAGCGTATGCAAGCTGCAGAATAGAATGAGGACGGGAGGGAGTTCGTAAATAATATGAGAGGGAACGCACTCGCGTCTATGGTCGGCTGTCCTGTGCAGAGGGTCCCGGTCAACACGGCTTTACGAGGAACGGCTGACCGGAGACATACCTCGAATTGATGAGATTCGAAAAGCCGTAGTAGAACTACTATACGGATGAGTTGGAAGCGCACATAGCATGCTGGCATAACACTCACCCCTCCAGCAACGACCGCCCCGGAGAGCGAGCCAACCAGGAAGGACATCTGGTCCGATGGTGATGGTTCGGAATGAGGAGCACTTGTTTGCCTCTTGTTTGTCCGGTCGATTCGTGTCCGAACCGACCGTTGCTACGTTCGTCCCAGCACAGAGCATCTCTAAATGTTGAAGGAAAACAGTATAGAAGCCCAACAAACACTCATATGTCTGCAGTGCTACTTGGTGAGCTCAAGCGAGCATAATAATCAGGCAAAAAAGGGCCCAACCGGGAATTGAACCCGGGACCCCGTCCAACTATCCCCATGAAGTTAAGGAGGCAGCAAAGCCCGAAGGACGTATCATACTACTAGACCATTGGGCCGGTGGAATGTTGGCTTGTAATACAAAATTGAATAATCAATATTGTATTATCTTGTCAGCAAGTCAAGTGGTTCTGCCTGCTTGTCCAAGGGTGGTATTTAGTGTTAGTTCTCATCTAGCTCAGTAGTAAGCATATATCGCACAGTGACTGCCATCGCTCATCGAAAGTTGGTTACACCGTCGTATGATAATACACATCAAGTGAAGTCGAAGGCTCGAAAAGCCACATACTGGATGATAGTAAAGTCATAATCATCCCCAGACACATGCAGAGGCCTGCTCGCAGTCGTATATACATAAATACAATCATTTGTTCCATAAACATATGAGACGAGCGCGACGCCCTGGCTCGTCAGAGAGCAATGGTCCTTTAGGTCAAGCTCCCATAGTACACGACCGTCGCTCTGCGTTGCGCGGACATGAGGCTGACGGCAAAGACCGCACCGAGGAGGAATCCAGCGGCCACGTAGGACACAGACTCGACGATGAGTGGCGGGCGGGGGTGGTGATGGCGGCGCGGCCGACGGGAATGTGCAGTCTTGTCAGGCTCTGCTCGACTCGACCCGTCCACGTCATTGTCAACGTTTGCGTTGTATTCCCCCTCCCAGCCGATCATGAGAGGCTGACCCGGCGACGTGATCTCCTTCTGGCCGTACGTCTCCTCCAAGTCGTCCACAGGGACAAGCTCGTCGACGAGCGTCCAGGCCTCTTCGAGTGACAACTTCGAGGACGAGGGCGAAGAGATGACGACAATGGGAAGCTTGTTGGTCGCCTGAGCATCAGTAGGCGTGGAGACGGACGGCGGCTGAGTGCTCGAGCTAGCGTCGGATTCCGACGCAAGGTCGTTGGTCGAAGGCTCCGACTCATCGTCGGTCGCGGCGAATACCCTCGAGAGCGCCTGCGCTGCTGTTGTGATGGCAGCTGCCAGCTCGGGGACAACCTCGATGGCGCGGATGGGATTGTATATCGCCCGGTGTACTGCGTGTACGGCGAGGCTGACGGGCACGAAGATGATGGGGAGGACAGCCCGGACGGAAGGACCTAACAGCGCGGAGGCAGCAGCGGCGGCCATCGTCTGACGGTCGACCGTGACGGACCTTGGTACAGGCTCAGGTTCTTCATCGTCGGATGCCGCCTCCACCGTATCTCCCAACTCCTCTCCATCGACGACCATCTTCTTCTCCTCGTTCGCGGATAGTGGCTCCTTCACAGCGTTCGCTGCCTCATCCACATCGACTGCGAGGTCAAGTGAGTCCAGGCCAGGCCCCTCTTCCGTCACAGCCGACAGTGGCGCGTCCATGCGTCGGGATGCCAGCTCCCGTTCCTCCAGGTCGAGGGTGACCGAAGCCAGTCGGTCAACGAATCTCGGCGCGTCCTGCGCAAGGAGCACTGAAGACGATCGTGGCCTCTCCACCCAATGCCGGGAATCCTCCAGGCGCGGGGCCTCCTCCAGATCTCCAGCCTCTATCATCTGCTCAATCCCCGCCACCTCGGGCAGCACGTCGTCCTCCATGACGGCATGCGAGGGCACTCTATCGAATGCCTCCATGAGGCTCACCGGCCGGGAGCCCATGCTGATGATCGACGACGAGCGCGAGCGCGCATGGCGCGTGACGGACGGTTTGCGCTCCGGCCACGACCCCTGCCTCTCGTGCGTGGACTGCCGATCATAGAGCGACGCCTGCCTCGACGGCGCGCGCGAGCTCTGCCGGCTGTCCACAGAGCTCTCAGGGGTGAGCGGGCGCGGGAATGACACGGGGCCACGCAGCGGGGGCAGCTCTGGCGCTTCTTGCAAGGGTGATAGGTCGGGCGCCATGGAAGCGAAGGATGGGGTGGGCGACTTTGCACGGCCGGCAAGCATGTCGGGTGTGACGGACAGGCTCATGGCTTTGTGCATGTCGGACAGCGACATGGACCGCGCGTGCCCCACGCCTCTTCCATGCGGTGAAATGAAGGGAGACGAGAGTTCGCCAGGGTCTGTTGGCATGCGAACCACACGGTTTCGCGGGCGAGGCAGCGTCGAGGGCGGCGTAGGCAGCATGGAAGGCGTGGCCCGCTGCTGGGGAGGAGTCTTCGGCTCGATCAATTCGCCCGCCATCATCGGGGGAGGGGTGGTCATCATAGAGCGAGGCATGATCGAAAGTTCGGACATGACAGACGACTCTGAGCCGGAGCGCGCGCGGGTGACGCCGAAGTACGGAGAGATGGGAGGAGTAAGGGGCCAGTCGGGAGCATTGGTGAAGTAGCTGGAGGCGGCGTGGAAGTAGCCCGGCGAGCCAGGTGTGCTGTACTCGGGGAGCGAGTCAAGTACGCGCGATGGCGACGGCATATCACTGACAAGTGACGGCGTGCCCGGGATACGCTCCTGCTCGTACATGCGCACTTTTTCCTCCAGGCCGTCGATGATCTCCTGCATACGGGCGGCCTCAGCACGCGCGCTCTCCTCCTCCTTGTAATGCGCCACCTGCGCTTCCAGCTGCGCGATCACGCCCTGAAGACGCTCCTCCTCCTCCGACGGGCCAGCTGCCTCGTCTTGCTCGTCACGCGCGGACGACTGCTCGTAGTGCTTGACCTGGGCTTCAAGGTCGTGAATGGCCGCCTCCAGCTTCTCCACCTCCTTCGTGACACGCACATGATGCGCCTCGCGGAGCTCCTCGGCCAATAGGTGCACCAAAGCGCGGATGAGCGTCCACACCTCGTCATGGCCGCGAGCCCACCAGCGTCCCGGCCAGTGTGCGATGGCGAAGGCGAGCTCGCACGCGGTGGTCACCGCGCGACCAAAGTCCTCTGCGACGACGCTGTGAAACCAAGGACGCAGGAAGGCGACGGCGAGCCTGACGGCGCCCGCTGTCGTGTCGCGTACGCGAGTCTCCGAGGGAAGCTTCATGAAGCGGTCGCTCATCAACTGGCAGAAGGCATGATATGACGAACGCTTGTCCTTGTAGTCCCACGCGACATCGGCAGGGCGGGCGCTATCAAGCTCGTTGAGCAGGAAGTATGTTGGGAGTTTCTCGACGATGGCGAGGAGGGGGATGGTGGCGTAGACAGCGCTTCCTGGGATGGAGCCATGAACGAAGACGAGCTGCGACTCCAGGGCGTAGCGCCTCCACTTCCAGTACTCCTTGTCCTTCCTGTCGCAGATGTCAGATACACATCTAGATGTCAAAGGAAAGACGAACTTCGACGGCGCGTCCTTCTGCATCAACTCCATGGCTGTCGCGGCCTTGTGGGCGACTTGATGGGCGTCGATGACGGCGATTTGGATGTCCTTCTTCATGCTGGCGTGGTATCGGCGGAGAGCGTCCCAGACAGACCACGAGAAGCTGAAGTTTGCGCTGATGAGGGGCGATTCCGTCCGTGTTGTCCATGTTAGATGGCGGGCAACGTCTTCGTATCCCATCGCCTCGGACAAGGCACCCATGCCATACGAGTCCCAGTCTCGCAGCTCATCTGGTGCTTCCCTGACCCGTTCGTCAAAGCGCGTCGCGATGAAGAAGGGCTCCGAGTCGTCGAAGAAGGGCGACCGCTCTTTCGGGGTGTAGACACGGAACAGGAAGTGGTTGTCCTCGATCAAGCCTCGGATATCTGTGTGGGATTCAAAGCCGTACTGGGGCAGGAGGGAAGACGACGCTTCCTTCCCTCCGCCTCGTGGAGAAGTATCGGGTGTGGTAGTCATTGTGTTTGCTGGGGAGGGATCAGCCTGTCGGATCGCGGGTTTTAAGAGACTGCGCACCTCGTTGGAACCAGCCGACATGCAGCAATGTGGTGGACTGTGCCAAAACAGAGTCTCTGCGCGCGATGAATCGGAACGCTCCCTACACGTGAAGGCCGCATTGTCAAAGACTCGAGGCTCGCCTCGAGGCGATCTTATGTTCCGGCTTTCTCCAAATTGCACTTCATATGGAAGGCTGATGCTGGACCACATGAACGCATCGTGCAGCGCAATGCAGGAGAGTCAGAATTTATGGCGGGGAGGTCACGGAGGACTGCATTGTTCGTCGCGTTCGTCGACAAGGAGACGTTCAGGACAAGAAGTATGAATCCGCTGTGATTGGCGCCGCAGCGGAACCTATATGCCGGGCCGATCGCGCCGTGGGTACTTACGTTACTCCCTAGTTCCCTCCAAGTCCAAGTTCCCTTCAGCTTCTCAGACTGGCAAAGCTATGCATCTCTCTGAGTGCATACGAAGGTCCAGATAATACAGGTACTACGCCGTCCGACTCGCATCCGCCCACAGAGCCTTCGCGGCCCCCCAGTACCTCTCCGGGTCCGTACGCGCATGAGCCACATGCGGACTCTCGTCCAACACCATCTCCCTCACCCTCAACCCCGCCTCCCGCACCTTTCTCACATGCCCCTCCACCTCCTTCCACCCCACCAGCTCGTCCGTCCTCGAATACACGTACAGCCGCTCCGTCTCCCCGCTCATCCACGGCAGCACGTCCGGCTGCAGCAGCCGCGCCTTCAGGTGCTCCCCGAGCGGCCGGACACCGCAGAGCGCGCTCAAGAGGTACATGTTGACGAACCAGAAGACGCCGACGAGCGCGGACATCGCCCAGCGGGCGGCGGGGTTGCGGATGAGGCCGGCGAAGGCACGGATGGCGCTGCTAAGGTCGCCAGTGGCGGGCGCGGAGTCGACGATGAGGGCGGCGGCGGCGGCGGAGGGTGCGCGCTTGCGGGCGCGGAGGAGGGCGCCCAAAGTGCATAGCTGGCTGGAACCGCCTAAAGGAGTGTCAGTTACCACGGACTCCAGATGTGTCCGTTATCTCGCTTACCATTTGAGAAGGAGTGTGCGAGGATGCGCGGACGGCCGTTGGGGTCCTTGGCGGTGAACGCCTCGATGGCTTCTGCTGCGGGTATGAGGGCTCTCTCCTGTACTCGGCAACCATTAAAGGTGAGTAAGTATTGGATGCGTGGATACGCACGCATAGACTTCTAGGCGTAAAAAAAAACACCGGTTCGGATTGAATGAGCAGGATAGTGGCGTTTGGGTACCAGCTG